CGGTTGAACGTTCCTTTATCTTCATCCCCCGCGCGTTGCGGCCGAACCAAGTCTCACGCGGTCGAGGTGGTCGTGGTGGCGGCTGGTACAGTGGACGACGCCCCAGTTACTACCCCAACTCCTCTTACACGCCGAGCGTTGTCAGCCGCCGATCTTCGTTTGGCATGCCACCTTCTCAGGATGGGTGGCCATCACCTGCTGGGTCTGTCTACTCCAGACCCACAATTCCCCCCGACGCTAAGCCCGTTGTCCGCCTTCCCCCTCCACCTCGTCCGCCTGTAGGGATCCCACCATTTGGGCCTGCGATGGCCATGTCTCTTCCTCACCCGGCCTATCGTGAAAGCCGCCCCGCCCCAATCCCCATGCATCAACCTCGTCCTCAGAAGACCGTCTCTGTTGCGGACATTGAAAGTCCAGCGACTTTCCCGTTCGCTTTCAACCCACCCCAGCCCCAGCATGAGCAGCCCTTCCACCATCAAGTCCCTCTTCCAGTCCATGGCCCACCCAGCCAGCCTTCGGCCACTCCGCTCTCCCAGATTCCGGAGCGGGCGATTCACGCACCGCCCTTTCAACCTTACACTTACCCTCAGCCTGGCTTCTACCCTCCGAGTTATCCTTCAGGTGGCATCTACTATCCGCCATCGGGACCTGATTACGCGGGTTATAATGGACCCGTAGGCCCCGGGGCCTCTATGCCAAACTTCCCGGGCCAGCAAGCAGTACCCTATTCAGCTGGGGAGCCCCCTCAACCAGGTACTGTTGCTCATGAGTCTGGTGGCACCGTCTACTTTTACGATGCCAACCATATGTACGGAGGTCCCGGACCAGGGTCTGGGCCTGGGGGTGTGGTTGGCATGGGTGGGATGATGACACCGCCAGGCACAACCTTTTACTACCCTCACCAATCCGGTCAATATTACGGGCAGTGATAAATGATCTCATCCCTTTTTTTTCTTCTTTTGCCTTTTTTTTTGGATCCCACCCCCATTTTTTCAATTTCCACTAGTTCTCTCTTTGTTCTCAACTTTCTCTCAATTTTCCCTCGGTTTCCTTTCAGCTCCACGATCTACACGGGTCTTTTTTCACTTTGCTTTTTTTTCTTCTTTATAATCTGCATTCACACATTCTCTAGCCAATTTTTGCGTTGCCTAAAGTCTGTCTCATTTTGGCCCTGGGTTTGCATTTGAGCGTTTTCTTTTTTCCCCGCATAGGGGAATCACGTATTTGATTCTAGCCCCCTCAATCTCCTTCGAATACCGTTATCACTGCATGACATCATGTTTCGTGTCCTGTTTTCTATTTCATTCTTTTGTCCTTATAAGGCGTTTCGAGAATAAAAAAGCACTATAACAAGTACGGACAAAGTATACAAGTCTTGGCATATCCACGTCACATTAGTCATATCCGTAAACATTCACCGCCTTCCTGCTCAGTTCGCAAGCAGCTGACCGTTCTCTCCGCTTTTTCCCAGTTCGACTGCTCCTTGTACAACTCCCCTCTTATTTCCCTAGACTCTCTTCTGCTTCGTTTCTTCTCCATCATAAATCATCATCATTTTCTCTTCCAGCATTTCTTTCTTACTCGTAACTCAGTGCTCCTTTTATCTCCCATCTAGTACCTTATCTCAGTATCCACCCTTGGACTTTCACATCTACGATGGCAACCCCATCGACTGCTTCTCATTCGGGTCCAGATCATCTGGTTACTGTCAAAGTACTCTACAATGACAGTAACCGTCGCTTCAAGGTTCCTCTCAAGGAGCTGAAAGCCCAGGTGTTTCCCCAGATGGTAAGTCTCCACTCAGGCTCAAGCTCCGGATCTGTAGTCCGACCCCATTCCTTATCTTCGGCGATCATCAGATCAAGTTTTGAATCTTGCAAATATTTTATTCCAACCTTTAAAAACACAAGAATACGCATTGTTTTGTTTTTTACAAGCTGACTTAATTGTTTTGGTTTAGCTAAGAACACTCCTCGGCGTTCCGGCGGATGTCAACGTCATCCTTGAACGCTATTCCGACAGTGCTGGTTCTTACGTTCGCCTGGACTGTGACAACATCGCAGTCTACAAACAGCTCTACCGGGCTGCCAAGGCCAAGTCCAAGCTTCGTATCAAGGTTACTACTCTTACTTCCCCAAACACATCCGCGCCAACACCAGCACCATCAGAACCCACTGTGCCGATGGAGTCAACCAACCACACTCGTCACAGTTATCTCGAAACAGTCCTGAGCCCTCTGGCGCCTCCCAATACTGTCCCCCTCATCGACTCGACCCAAGTTCCTCATCCCACCGGTGAGAAACAGCTACCTCTCGGTCAACCTCGCTACCGCCCCTTCGAGATGGACCAAGAAAAGCATCAGTTCCCGGTCATCTCTCACGCCTCGTCCAACGGGATGTTCTGCATTGACTGCAATAACTGTGGTCGATCTATTGCAAATGCGCATTATCACTGCAGCATTTGCGAGAATGGGGACTATGACTTGTGCCTACAATGTGTCGGTGCTGGCGCATCTTGCCGCGGCGAAGGTCACTGGTTGATCAAGAGAACCGTCAAGGATGGTGTTGTCACAAACAGTACTACTGAGACTATTGCTCCCCGTGATCAATCAGCGCTGGAGCTCAACCCCGTCCTGTCTACTCCGATCCAGCACGAGGTGATCACCAAGCCTGTGGTCCACGTCCCTGAGCCAGTCCAAGAGTCAGTCCAAGAGTCAGTCCAAGAGTCGACCCCAGTGTCAATTCCAGAGTCGATCCCAGAGCCAGTGGCCCCATCAGCTCGTTTGGATCCAGCCGTTCAGGGTGATGACAAGCCAATGTGCAATGGATGCTGTCGTGGTAAGTTTTCTCTTCATTTCCCTTCTCTCTTCTCTTTACTCACAACACACAGAAGCCGACGAAAGCAACCTCGTCCGCTGCAATGACTGCGAGGACTATGATCTTTGCCTTCGCTGCCTCCTCCGAAATAAGCATGGCCACCACCCTGGCCACACCTTCCACCTTGGATCTGATCGGAACTTCTGTTTGAAGAATCTGATCACTTCTCGCTGCCTTCCCGGTCGGCAGTTCCGACACGCCGCTGTCTGTGACGGCTGTGACAAGGTATTTACTCTCCCATTCAGCTCATTTGGGAGGCACTCAGCTAATTTTTGCTAGCGCATCGTTGGTGTTCGTCACAAGTGCTTGGCCTGCCCCGATTGGGATTTCTGCCCCGATTGCATCTTGACTGCTCCTCAGAACCACCCAGGTCATCGGTTCGTTCAGGTTTACGAAACTATTGGTGAACCCGCTCGTGAGCATGAAATCCACTATGGCATCTTCTGCGATGGTCCTCTGTGCAAGAACAAGCCTGCCCAGAGTTACATCAACGGAGTTCGCTACAAGTGCGCTGTCTGTGATGACACCGACTTCTGTGCGAGCTGCGAGGCCCTTCCGACAGATCACCACAACCGCACTCATCCGATGGTCAAGTTCAACACTCCGGTCCGCAATGTGACCGTGAGCACCCTGGGTGACGATGGCTCGAGTGAAACGGTTGCCCTAGGTGACCAGCTTCATACCTCCACTCGGCCCATCGAACAGACCGAGCTTGCGGGGCGGGAACCCGTTGAGATAGATGCTAGCAAACCCGTGGGGAAAGTCGAGCCTGAGCCATTCGTGAGCAAGCCCACTCCCGAGGCCGAGGCGGATAGCTCTGATTTGTCGGACTACAAGGCATTCTTTATCCGTGACACTGTCACTGACGGTACAAAGATGGCCCCAAACACCATGTTCCGCCAGACCTGGACTCTCTATAACCCCGGTCCTGCAGCATGGCCCATTGGTTGTGATGTTCGCTTTGTCGGTGGAGACAAGATGTTCAATGTCGATGTCTGCCACCCATCTAGCGTCGAATCTATTCGCTCAGCCATGGAAAGCAACAAATTGTCTGCCCCTGTAGAGCGAGGTGAGAGTGCTGACTTTACTGTCAACCTTCGCACTCCTAGCCACGAAGGCCCTGCTATTTCCTACTGGCGTCTGAAACTCCCTAATGGTGTGGCCATCGGTCACCGTCTGTGGTGTGATGTCGAGGTGCAGACCGCTTCTCTGGAAGAAGCTGGCACTAGCGAGACATACCCTGCCGTGTCTGAAATTGCCGGCAGTGGCATGATCTTCCCCAAGCTGGAGAAGGAATCTCCGGAGTCAAGCACTCATCAAGCCGAGGCTCCTGCCCCTCAAGCACCGACCTTGTCGAATTCTTCAGAAGTGGATGTTCTAGAGGATGTCGAAAGTCTGACCCTGGACGACGCCTCTACTGACGCCGACACTGGTTTCCTGACTGATGAAGAATATGATGTTCTTGACGCCAGTGATCAGGAATATCTTGACGCCAAGCAGTCCGCAAACTGAGAAATGTTTGGGGAAAATCATCACGACACGATATGGGATTGGGAAATTGCACAAGTGCACTCTTTTATTTTATTTATTTTTTTTCTTTCGGACTTTGCCGCAAAGGTCTATGTCACTCCAGGCATGACTAGACTTAATGAGAGTTATTTTTTTTGGCCTATGAAAACAGACAAAGAAGAGAAACAAAAAAAAGAGTCTGCATCATTCATTTTTTTTGCCTTGGATAGTTTACCAAATGCAGTTGCTGTTTGCGGTTGTTCATTGTAGTTTACTCTTAGCCTCTCCCCGAGGTCCTTATAACACCGCACTAATCCCATTTAGGTATCTCGAGGTCATATAAGCTTAAATATAACCATGGAAATCCTTCAGGCTTTTTTCCCTTGTTCATACTTCATCCATTGAAGTATATACCCTATGTGGAATATGTTGACTTTCAATTCGAAAATATAAATGTTGCAGATCTCTTGATACCGAGGATATTCCCGAGGTCCAACATTTAGTGTGAGGGGCACTGGATATCCATAAATATAGACTTTTTCTTTTTTTCACATATTTTGTTCCATAGTAGATTCATTCGCAATAAATCTGGGAAATTGCAATCTGCTTCTGAATATGGGATTCGGCACCGTGTCCACCCTCGGCCTCGTCGCTCTGGTCGCCTTTTTCGCGGGCCCAATAAGCCATTTCATGCAAATTGCAGGAGTCTTTCTCACTCCCAACTCGACAGTGCTAGGCGAAGGCCAGGGCCCAATCTACATCGAAGATACCATCCACTGCGAGGATGTGCACCACTACCGCCCGGCGAACCTGCTGTTCACTGCCTGCGAGGACAACAAGAGCACACGGTTTAGCTGGTTCCCGCCGATAGGCAACTTGCTACCACTCACGACCCAAGGCTCTATCCATGTCGTGAATCCCAAGGTGAGTTTGTTCTGGGGATATCGAAAAAGAGAAAATCAAAATAATTAACCCCTAACATAGACTATGAAATCAACTCGTCTGGCATTCGAGAACTTCCGAGGCCCCTTCCTGACACATGGAATCGATGTCATTAGGGATCCCGAGCAGTCAGACGCAGTCTACATCTACGCCGTCAACCATTTGCCTAATCTGGCATACTTTGAAGCCGGCGAGCCCAAAGGCGTCCCCAAATCCCAGTCTCAGATTGAGCTCTTCCACTACATCCTAAACTCCGATTCCATCCGTCATGTACGCTCAATCAACCACCCGCTCATCAAAACCCCCAACGACATCTACGCCATCAGCCCGGTCTCTTTCTACGTCACCAACGACCACTTCCACCGCGACGGGCCCATGCGGCTCATCGAGGCCGTCTGGCGCTCAGCCAAGTGGTCTAACATCATCCACGTGCAGATCGCCGATCTGACAAGCAAAGACGCTCCTATCGAAGCCTCCGTCGCACTGACAGGTCTATGGAATAACAATGGTCTTGGGCACGGCCGCACTGACAACGAAATCATTATTTCCAGCGCTATGGGTGGTGAGGTCTTCCTCGCAACCCGACACAAGTCGAACCACTCTATCTCCATCGATACCTCGGTCTCCGTTAGTGCTCTCGCGGATAACCCGTCCTATTACGATGATCCATACCGCACGGACTCCCATGATGCAAGCGGATATCTTGTGGCCGGTGTCTCGCATGCTATTCGCATGGTGGGTCATTCTAAGGATCCAAATGATGTGATTCCGATCCCAGTCCAGGTGTGGTATATGACTCTCAATTCGCATACTGGGGTCTGGGAGAAAAAGGTCCTGTTTGAGGATGATGGGTCCAGGATTAGCACTGCGAGTGCGGCGGTACTGGTGCCCATTCAGCCGAAGGCTGGCAAGAAGCTTGCATGGCTCTTTGTTACTGGGTTCATGTCGGAGAGTATGGTGGCTGTACAGGTTGAGCTGTAGATTAGAATTGTAAGTATTATATAGAACATAGAAGATAAATTTTTGGAAGGATTTGCAGAGAACAAACATGAGAGTTTGCTCTTTGCTCTAACTTTGTCTATAAATTCCCACTCCTCTCGCTATATCAGCTTTTGTATATTTCATCACCCACCATCTTTCCAACTCGGTAAGTCCCTTCCACCACTCCCTGGTAGTCATACTGATCCTCACTTCTCTACAGTCGAGATATCGGAATTGCCAATTCTGGCCCTGTGCGTGAGTTTACACTATACAAGGGGGATACTACAATAGCAACGAGGTTTGTTTCTGGCTCATCATCGTTGATTTAAGCTAGCCTCTTCCTCTATAGGAGAGTCACCAGTGCTACTATCAGCACCCGAAACCCCATCTTACGACTTTAACAAAAGCTCGCGACGTCAATGCCGGGGAGTTGTGTGGACATATTTTTATACAAAAATGGAACGCAGTACCGTGTTCGGCGCTGTACAGGGAGGTTTCTGATAATTAGTCATTATTAGAGGTCCAGATGTGGCCGGAAGCTCCGAAAGAGTAGGCAAATCGGGAGGGCACCGGTGAGTTTCACGGTGTTGAGAAGATGCCGCGTTGGTGGATAGGATGCCCGGAGTGGTGCAACACCTACATACATGAGCTTGAACTTGAGCCCAACTGTTCGTATCGCTTCTTGATAGATTACTTAACATTGGTTCCAAATGTATTCGCTATTCTCATTGTCAAATGGGAAGCCTGTATGGGAACAGTCTCGCAATATAGTTAATTTGGGCTTGAGTAGACCAGCAGGTCTTAGGTATACCGTTGGAGAAGCTGAATTAGTTGGACAGGAAACATATAGATATCTGAAATTGAAGTGCAAGCGCCGCTGCAATGCAACAAATTGGCAAAAAAAAAAAAAAAAAAAAAAAGAAAGAAACCAAAAAGGAAGGTAAATAACAAGATTCATAAAAACACCAAGTATTACACCACATTCATCACATCATTTGATTTCTCTGCTTCATCTGTCTGACTTGCCCGACGGAGTCTGGGAAGAGAATGAACAGAACTTGTCCTTGATCGCGATAACCTCGTAAGTTCCCTCATCGGAGGTCTTAATGGTCTTGATGTTCTCGTACGAGATATCATGCTTGATATCAAGGATCTCGGACTTCTTTCCCTTGCGGACATTGGAGCTCCGGATGTATCTGTGGAATGTTAGCAGACTGCGGCATAGACCACTTGGGTAGAGGTTATTTGACTTACGTAAATTCGAATGGTGGTGTACCCCAGAACTCGAAGTGAAGCTCGGCTTCTCCGCCCTCGTGGATGTCTACCACCGATTCTTTGCCCTTGCTGATCCGCACGCTCGGCATAGCGTGGATGACCTTGGTGATGTCTTTATGGGCCTTGCATTTTCCACTGGCTCCGTCACTGACGGCGTTGATGGTGAACCGACCAGGGAGTTCCGCGATACGACGGAAGTTAGAAGTCTGAGTAGTGGCCTTGCGCTTGGCGCCATCGAAGGTGTAGAACACGTCGAATGGAGCATGGCCTGACAGCGAGAATGAAAGTCGTTCGCCCACACAGTAGTCCACCTTGGACTCGAGCGGGATAATGGTAGGAACATCTGAGATGGCGACCCGCACCGAGGAGGCATCGAGGTCAGTGGTTTTTTGACAACCTCTAGAATCGCGAACCTTGTGGATGCTGACTTGGTGTTGCCCCAAGTCAAGATGGCGACGAGGAATCAGCAGTTTGTGGCGATTGGAATTAATCTTGGGAATTGTGACAATCTCCGGTTTGGCGTTCGAGTGGTGTTTGATACTGATCTCCAGCGAGAACGGTGGGACACCCTCCAAGGTAATGGGGATGGATTCCTCACCACTGATGTCCTCCTTGCAGAAGCCAAAGACGTGGCCAGGTTGGTCGAATTTAGCGGACGGTAGAGGGTTGACCTTTTGTGTCACAACAAGAGGCTTGCTCTTGGGATCGTGGTCGTAGAGGCTATCGCCAACTTGCGTGAACTTGTAGCTGTATTCTCCAGCCTCGGAGGTATCCATTTCCATCGAAGTCACATGAAGGGCAGACTTCAAGGCTCGTGGTTTCGCCGCAGAGAATCCTCCACGGTCCGCCTTGCGTCGCTTCTCGTATTGAACACTGTATGGAGGATTGCCTGACAGGCGGACCTCAAGGCTATCATCGTCGCCTTGACAGACCTCGGACTTTGCAAACTCCTTAGAGGCTCCAATGGGAGAACCGTCCAGGGCAGTGATCTGAGGTCGTGGAATCCACGAGATTTCAAACTCATTTGCAGACTGGTCCACGGTTCCAGGACAACCGGCGTCAAATACTTCACTGATCTCATAAAGACCCTGCTTATCGACAGTCAAGACACTGTTTTCGTCCCAGAAATTTTTCTGAACGGGCGCCGAGTCCACGTCAACATTCTTATACTTGACAGTCCAAGGACGTTCGCCACTCAGTCTCAATGGAATCTCAATCTTGGAGTCCTGCAAAGCCAAGACACTTCTCTTCTTGTCAATCTGACCGAAGGAGACGTGCGGGGGCTGTGACCGAGCTTCAATATTGATGCTGTCCTTGAGAGTTCGTTTGCAATTAGACTTATCCTTAACGCTGGTCAGAGACACGGTGTAGTCACCACCACTAATCAGTTTGTCAGTTGTGATGGTTGCCACATCGGTATCGGATTCCAGTGTCTTCTTCAATCTCTTCCCATTGTGGACGATCTCATATTGCAAGACCCAAGGAGCCTCTCCAAGGAAAGACACCTCCACAGAAACCGCTTCGCCGAAACAGGCGGTTCTCAATTTTCTTGATAGGAAATGAGCCGAAGCTGGTGGTTTCACATCTTGTTCAAGCACCGGTATTTTGAGAGACCGCGGCGAGTAGACGGCATCCTCGATGTCCAGGAAACGATAGGTGTATGAGCCAGCTTCCGATGGGGTGAAATCGAGCTGCGCACGCATTCCATTGATGGCTTGTACTTTGGAAACAACCCCCTTGGAGCTCTCAATGCTGTATCGGAGAGAGAATGGAGGCGATCCGGTGAGATCCAAATCCACGAGCAGCCCAATGGCGTTGTTGGCACAGCGGTCAAATATCTTTTCAGCCTTGACTGTCAATTCTGGCTCAGGCGGGTTATGCAGATAGCAAGACGAAGGTTCGAGGATCTCTCCCGGACAAAACTTGGTAGAGACTGATGTCAAGGCATACAAACCTGGCTCCTTGATGTCCAAAGTCTGATTCATATGCTTAAGCTCGACGGTCTGTTCTTGCGATGCTGCTTGGGCGTTGCCTGTGAACGAGTAACCGACCGAAAAGGGACCATCCTTAGTATATGCGCGCCCATCAGGATGGAAGTTCAAGGGGAACCTCGTGCTGTCTCCCTTGGCCACTTGCAGGGGATTCTGAGAATTGCAATTCTGCAGTGACAACTGTGGGCGCTCGTGAACGGAGAACTGGTACCACTGGGATTGCGACTTTGTGGACGGCCGGTCTCCTTCCTCGAAGATGGTAGAATAATTAGCCACGTTGCCAATAGCATCATGGACCTCTTCAATCGTGTAAAACCATTCTCCACCGTCATTTAATGATTCGTTTAATGGAACCTCAATCTTTTGACTCTGCGCCCACGAAACGTCGGGCTGATTGATGCTGTACAGAGCAGCAGTAGTTCTTCCATTGAGCAGCGGAGAGCGCAGATGATCAGGCTGGATATTGAGGACCGAGAATCCACGATCAAGATTGTTGACCTGGCGACTGTATTTGATCTTCAACGGAGGCGTGCCTTCGACCTCCAATTTAAAGTCGGACAATTCTCCTTTGCACTTGTCGATGTGTGAATTTTTGATCAAGGCTCGCGGGCAAGAGACCACCAGCGCATCAAATGTTCGCGTGTGAACATCAAGCTGAGACTCGTCCACCACCCGTTGAAGACGATAGACACCAGTTTTTCGCACAGGGAAGAGCAAGTCACGATGGAGTTGACCCGGAACATGCTTCTTTTCTGCCTGCTTTTTGAGAGTTTTCAACTGCTTCGCCGGAATGCTAATAGTTTCATTTTCACCAGTGCTAAGATCCAGACGCAACACTTCGATCAGGACCGGGTCGGTCTGGTTGACACGGATTGGCAGGTCGATTGTGGATTGCAAAGAATCAAGGCAAAGCGAGTTTCGATCCGGATTGAGGACGGCGGATCTATTATAAAGTGAGCATGGATCTTAGGTATACTTGAACGGGATAAACTTACCCCTCTGGCAGAATATGCACGATTTGCCTTCCCAGGATCAACGACGCATTGTGAATGATATCGCCAGGCTTGACCCTGCGCTCAGAAACGGATAATTCGCGATCGTATGCTACCTTTACTAGTCCGGTTATCCATGCAGCCCAAGGAATCTGCAGCTATTAGCGGGGGCCGATCAGCAGTCTAAAAAGAGAAAGAAAAAAAGAACTCACTGGGATGCGGAACATCAAAAAGACATTGCCCACGGCGTGAAGCAGGAATAGAGTGAGTGTGGTTGGGAATGCCCACTCCAGCCAAGGTATGCGCAGAGCCTGCAGCCCGAACAAGAAAATTCCATCTATCGTGGCCCATTTCAACAGCAGCCAGGTGGAATCTAGGTCATCGGATGCGGTCAAGGACTCATAAATCCTCCACGCATTTAGGGCAAAATATATTGCAACCACATAGAGTCGTTGGGAGGGAGCATCGATCACATTGGTGGGGATCAGTGGCACATCCACGTTCGGGTTCGGGGGTGGTAGTCTCGAGACCTTCGAGGCGGATTTGGATGCTGATCTGAGTGGCGTTCGTAGAGCCCGAGTCTCCCGTGGCTGCGATCGTGAAGGTGTCTCAAAGAGCTTTCTCCTTCCAGTTCCAGGGATTGTTTTAGGTGTCTGCGGAAAGGCAGACGAGAGGAGGGGAGTGCCGTTCATGGCATGCTGTGGCTGCCGGAGCTAGCGAAAGATGGAGTGGATGTAACTAT